CCCCAGAAATGCCCTCTCCCACTGCCAGGTGAGTCAGCGGGCTCCCCGGTTGGCACAGAGGAGCGGGCAACACTATACACAGCCACCTGTGGGCCACGGAGCCCCAGCCAGCTCAGCAGCAAAGCCCAGCCATGAGCAGCGAGTGAGACACCTTCAACCTGGACTGGTACAACTTTGCCAGCGGCTAGAAAAGGCATCTCGGGTTGCGCCAGGAGAATGGCAGCATCAAAACTACACCCTCCTTAAAATGCTCTTCATTACTGCAGCCTGGGGAAGGCAGACCACGTGTGCTGTTTACAGGGAATTCAGATTTTTTTCCTCTGCTTCTGTCTCAGCCCCTCCCCTCCACCACCTCCAATCAGACAAGTAACCTGGGCAACAAATTTGATATACTCCAAAATCTTATGACAAATGGCACTGAAAGAAAAAAAAAATGCTTTGTGTTTATTTATGCCACAAAAAAAATCCCATAAATCAAAAGCAGAGAGGACGGGCACAAGGAGGAGGTGTCGGTGACGAAGCGGAGAAACGAACACGCGTGTACGTGTGTGTGCACACAGGCGAGTTCCCACGGGACCTCTGACTACTCGGGGGGACACGGATTTTAATTCCCAAGGGGGAACCACCATCGGGATGAATGCAGCACTCTGACACCCAGTAGGCGCTTCGTAAGCATAAGTCCAAGTTCAGAAGGTTGCCGCCCCCAAGAAAACACCAGACTAAAGAAACCGACGAGAACTGAGGTGACTCCTCTTTTCCTTTCCACAACAGAAAGCCCAGAGACGTTTCAATTGAAGCAGCAGAGTGGTGAAAATTTAAAAAACAAGTCAAGGCTACTGTGCCTGTGCTCTGACCCCCATTTGACCGATTGGACCCTCCCCATTCTGAGATGCCACCTGCTACATGTTAGAAAAAATAAGGTAAAATAAAAGGTAAGCAGCTGATTCGTACTTCTTTGGTGCAGAGGAGACAAAGCACACGGACAAAGCCCTCTTCCAGAGGACAAACATGCCTAGCAGGTGATCAAATTCAGCCCAGACACGAGAACGGCAAAATGGATTCTGGACCCACGGACCCGAACCTTCTTGGCTACAGCCGACACCATGGTTGGCAACCACAAAAAGCCCAGGGAGGCCCGGGGACCGGGAAGTCTGGACGTGAAAGGGGAATGAGGAACAGCGGCGTCCAGGCCACAGCCTGGGCAGATGCACCCTTCCGCCGGCAAGGTGCGGCCGTGTGTACCCCAGGGAGGGGCGGACACCTCCCAGTCCCCCTCCCGGCAGCCGGGTCACTGGCGCCTTTGTGTTTCCTCCTTTGTTTATGAGTCTTCTGGATCCAAAGTCTCCAGCACAGAGTGCATCGGGCCCGGCGCTGTCACCGGCCATGTCAGGCGCTGTTGACTCTGCAAGGATTTAATCAGTAACCGGCCCAGCAGATAGGCACAGGGGCAAGCTCCAACCTGACCCCAGAGAAGGCAAAGTTTACAGCCAGGCCAGGGAGTGAGGCCGCGGGCCCCCTGGGGCCCCAGGCTGAGCCCATCTCCCCGGCAGGGAATGCAGAGAGGTCCGTCCACCTGGGGGGTGTACCCAGCTGGAGCGCCTGCCAGGTGGGACTGAGAGCCCCCGGACGCCTCCACCCAGGCCTGATGCAGCTGTGGTCGTGGAAGCCTGGTCTGTAGCTCTGACTACCATCCAACTGACTGGATCAGTGCAGACAGACCCTGAAAACGGTTTGGGCAGAGGGTGTATTGGGTTTGTTTATGGGTTTGAATCTAGATCAATCACTCTGAGTCTTGCGCCTGAAGCCCACACAATTAACCAGATAATTACCAGATGGTTCTGAGGTGAGCTGTGTAGAGGGCTTAACAAAAGGATGACGTACACTTCATGGAAGGCTATGACCAATACAAAACGCCCGATACAGCCAGCAACTCGCGGCTGGGCCACAGGGGGCTTTCCGTTGGAGTGAGCTGCACTCAGATTCACCTTTGTTTCGTTTGGGCTCCCATTTCTCAATTGAGTGCTTGGGCCGCACTACAAAATGCAGACAGATTACATAACGCCCGGGCCTCAGGGAAACCCCTCAGGGGCCTGCTTTGCTTCCCGCGGGGGTGGGGGGTGGGGGGCCTGGACACACCAACAACCAGGTGTCTCAGGACGGGACAAGGTCCCCAGTGGTGGTGCCACCCACACCCCTGCCCCGGAGGCCACGGCCTCAGCAGCCCCCCTCCACGCTCACAGGCCCCGGCAGGGAGGGCCGTGCACCCCACCCGAGCCCACCAAGGCCACACGTAAGGACACTCCCTGCCCTGCCCGCGGGGCTCGCCAACGACAGGCGGAGAAAGGGGACAGCCCATTGGACACTCGCGCGTAGTTCCTCCCTCCTCGCTTCCCAACGCCACAGCAAGGCTCTGCGAGACAAATCTTGTGCCACGGATGGCCCTCGGCCCCCAGTCCAGAAAATCACGGCTCCTCTCCAGAGAGGCCCAAGAAGACGAAGGTGCCACCACCACGCCTGCTTGAGAAGCCAGCGCAGGGCTTCAGGCGCCCTTCCTCCCCACTCTCTCTCCAGCAGACACCTCTTGAGCAATCAGAGGTAAACTGGGGGAGGGGGAGGGGCACCTTGAGCCTCCAAAGCTGGCTTCCCCCAGCCGTGGGCAGCACAGCACAGCTCCTGGCTTCTCCCGGGGGAGCACGGGAGCTCGGCCTGTCCTTCCCACGGAGGGTCACTGTGCCTCCCAGCCATCTTCTCCTCCCCAACTCCCCTTCACTTTAAGGGGTGACAGAAAGAAAAATAAAGCTTCCCCAGCCCCGGCCAGGGGAAAATTCTGAAGCCAGATCTGGAGGCTGCTGACCCCAGGCAGGGAACTACTGAGGACACCAGTTCCTCCCTGAATCTGAAACACTGCGCGCTGGCGAATTTTCTGAGGCTCTCCCTCCATCAAATGAAAAGCCAAATGCCGAGGCCTGTGGCTCGGGACAGGTTTGAGAACGTGCACGAGCCTGAGACTGGGACTGGACCGCTTCTCGCCAACCAGGGATCCTCCCCGAGAAAGCAGCCTTTGCAGATTGCACCAATGTGCCCACAGGAAAGAAAAAATAGGTGTTCTGAGTACGTCGGACCCAAAATTCAGAATAAAAGTCCTCGAGTGCTTCAGTGCCCGGGGGGGGGCGGGGGGAGCTGTTTCAAGGAGTATGGTTTCTTCTGCTAACTTTTCCCCCTCCCCATTCCCTGGAGCATGTGTCACAGCCTGTGACACACTGCCAAGGGAACATGGATGCCGGGGAAATGTCTGCACATGCTACACGTTTGTGACATGCTATGTAAGCGACACCCTGTTTCCCGGCTGGGTTTTCTTGGCACAGGTGTGGGCAGGCGTTAGATTCAGCGCCCCCGCCCCGACCACCGTGCTTAGTGAACCGGATCACGGTTGCCCCAGAGGGGAGCGTGCATTCTGGGGAAGACGTGCCACCTCTCCATAGAGGACGGGACCCCCTCACAGCAAGGCTCGGGCCCAAGCAGAGCTGGTGCTTTAAACTGTCCTCCTTTCAAAACACAAAGCATCCTGTTCCGGCTCCTGCCCGCCACCCTCCCCCGCTGCGACCCCACCGCAGCCCTCTCTCTCCACCTTGCAGATTTGATTTCAGAAACAGATCGATGACTTCTCTCCCTCTCATGAGGGCGACCCAGTCCCAGCCATGTATTTTAAAACAGTAACAATAACATAATAAAACCTCCAGCAACAAAACACACGTATACAATACTGCATAGACTATACAAGACCAGAACCCCACAGGCCAGCTTCCGCACTAGAACTTGACCGCCCCCCGTGGGGAGGAGATAGCCCAGGACCCCTGCCCCCTCTCCCTCCCCCTCCCCCTCCACTTCCACCCTCCCAGTGTGTCAGTGAAATTTTTTCAGAAAGGGAAGCACCCAGTTTTGCCTGCCAGCCCGGGCAGGAAAAAGACGGGTAGAGAGCAAAGAAAGGAACTGGCTTCTGGAAATTCTTTGGGTTTTGGGGTTTTGAGGTTGTTGGGGTTTTTTTGTTTTTTTGTTTTTTTTCTGGTTGTTTTGTTTTCCCATCCGCCGCAGATCCAGATGTGCTTTCCGAAAGGGAACCCCACCACCATCAGGGCCCAGCCTCGGGGGTCTATCCCAAGGTCCCATCCGTAATTAACACAAGCGCTGGGCCCGGAGGTACCCAAATGCTCAGTCCGGGGTGGGCCAGATCCTCTCCATAATTCTAAGGGTCTCCCCGAGCCCGCCGGCAGGGCAGAGCTTCGGATTCCACAATCCAGTCCGGAGCCCAGGCCAGGAAAGGGGCGCCCGGTTCTTCCCGCCCCCCGGCGCCCTGCAGGCCCCGGGCTCCAGGTGCAGCGGCAGGCAGGGGGCAGCCGGTGGGAGGGGGCGCCTCCCGGGCCCCGAGGGGAGGCGCGGGGGTGCAGGCGCGCCGCCGCGCAGAGCGACTCACCGTGGCGGACGCCAGGCTGTTGTCGGCCAGCGTTAGGTGGTGCGGCTCCCAGCGCCTCAGGAATTTCGAGGTGAGGATCTTGCTGAGAAAGGTCCGCGGGTGCCGGATGACACAGACCTGGATGTCGCCCTCCTGCAGCAGTTTGTACCTCATCCCGTTGCACAGCAGAAGGGCCCGGCGGCAGGGCACGGCGCCCATCTTCGTGCCCTCGGGGGCCGGCACGTCACCCCCCAGCAGCGGCTTGGTCTCCTCGATCTGCCGGGAATCGCCGCCGCCCGAGGTGCTGGTCAGATCCATGGCCGGCCGGCCGGGCCGGGGAGGGGGCCGGGGGCGGGGAGAGGGGCTGTCCCGGCTGCCCGGGCGGCGGGGCCCCCGGTCGGCGTCCCGCACCCCCCCACCCCCCAGGAAGGTGGGGGGGTGTGGGGCTGGGGGCGCCCCGCAAGGGAGGGGCCCGGGCGGGCAGGCGGGCGGGCGGCCGGCACTCGGTCCTTCCTGCGGGGCTCCGGCTTCCTCCTAGCTCGTCGGATGCATGCTCGCGGCGGCCGGACCGGCTCGGCGGAGGGGCGGGCGGGCGGGGACGCGGGGCAGCGCCGGCGGGGGGGGCCGGGGGCCCGGTGGCGGCGGCGGCGAACGGGGGCCGCGCGGGCGGGCGTGTCTCGGCCCCGCCGCCCGCTCGTGTGTACAGTACGTGTGTCTGGGCGGCCGTCCGCGGGCGAGTGTGCGGCGGGGGCCGCGGGGGCCGGCTCTGTTGAGAGATTGCAGAAGCCGCTCGGCGCCCGCGCGATTGGTCCCCGCGGGGTCATGTGCCCGCCCCTCTGACGTCAATGGCGGCAACGGCGGCTGCCGCCGCGGCTTCGGCCTCTCGCAGGCGGAGTCCGTCGCCGGGCGGGGACGCGAGGGGCCGAGGCGCGGCTCGACGGGAGGGGGCGGCCCCCGGGGAGGGGGCTGGGGCGGGCGAGCCCTGGCAGGCCCGGGCCCGCCCCGCCCGGAACCTGGGGAGTGGGCGGGGGCCTCGGGGGAGGGGCGCGTGACGTCACGCCGAGCCGCGCCCCCGCCGGTGCCCAGGCCGGTGTTGAGCCGCGCGGCCCGCCTGCCCGACGGTTCTGAGAACGCGCCGCGGCCCCCGCAGCCCACCCTTACCCCCGCGGCCAGCCGGGATCCGAAATGTCAGCGCCCCGAAACCTGTCCACGCGGATGGCGGAGGTGCGGCCAGGTGCAAACCCGAGGGACCGGGGCCGGGCTGGGCCGGGCCGAAGGTGTGGGGACAGGACCGCAGGCAGGAAGCTGTCCACCTGGCTGGCCAGATGGCGCCACAAGACAGAGATATTTCCTTGAACTGAATGTGTCCCGTCAGTTATCCGGGGAATGAGCCACGCTGCCCTGGCTCAGCCTGCAGCACTCTGCAGGCCTGGTCATTTACAAATGTCTGCCCGCCGTGGCCCTTGGGGTCCTCAGGCCTACTGGGGGGATGGGACAGGCTCCTCAGCCCCACTCCTTCCTTCTGCCCCTGGAGCCTGATTAGTTCCTACTAGGAACCTAGACAACAAAATCCCTCCCCAGCGTTACCGGCGCCCCCCTCCTCTGCCTGCACCCCAGCAGCTCCAGCCTCTTTACCTCTCCCCTCAGGCCGGGACCCGGTCATTCATCTCTGCATCCCCAGGTCCTGCGCAGAGCTGTGAGAGAATCATACTGGAAGCCCCTTTGGGGAATGAGCTATGGTGTCACTCGGGAACGCCAGCTGTGCAACAAAAAAACGTTCCCTTTCTGCCATCAGGAGTGGCACCAAAAGCCACGCAGCAAGTGCTCTGCTCTGAGGTGGGGCTTTCTCACATCCACGCACTTCTGCAGTTAATATCATTAAAACCCCCAGGTCTGTGCCTTTTTTGTTAAGTGAAGGTGTCTCTGTAGTGAACACACAAGTGTGTGAGCATGCGTTGAATTGCATCATGAATGTCGAAGTTTGTCCACGGCAGCCCTACAGTGGGGACTGCCCCCTCCCCCTCTCTCCCAAGAACAGACAAGATGAGGGCCCCCCAAAACACTCTCACTTGATCCCGGCCAGGGCTGGGGCCAGGGTGGAAGGCAGGGCCCCCGCATGTGTCCCTCACCAGAGAAGACGCATCTCCAGCCTGCCCAGGAGACGGGCAGAGCTGTTCTCTCCTCGTGAGCCCTGGGGAGGCACAGTTAGGCGGGAAAATGGGGAATTCACTGACTCCCCACAGCCTGCTGGCAAATTCTGTTCTTGAAGTTCTGAACATCAACGGCCTTGAGAAAACCATCAAGCAAGGAGGAGACAGGCAAGCCAGAGACCCCACCCGGTGACACAGACGTGGATGCCGTAGGTGGGGATGGCAGGTGGTTGTGACCAAGACGCCCAGGCCACGCCGCCAAGGGAGTTAGGTCTGTTGTCCGAACCTTGATTGAGCTCCTGCTGTTTGCCGGTTGCAGGAGTAATTCCCCGCGTCCTAAGCATGCACGCAACTTTTCCTTCTCACTGCAACCCATGACACAGGGTTGACCCATCAGCATCCCCTCCTGCAGGTGAGGATGCAGGGAGACTGCCAGGCTCACTTGGCTAGCCAGGACTGGGCCCTGGTGCGGAGCTCAGGGTCTAAGACCATGTAAAGACAATGACCGCACTGTGCTTGGGGCTACAGGGAGGGGGAGGGGCGTATCTAACCCAGCCGGGCTGTGGCACTGGGGACACGTCCTGACTCCAAGAGGTCTTTAGGAATCAGGTAAAGAAGGGGAAAGGTGCTCCTGGAAGGGGGGACGGCACATACAAAGGCAAAGAGGTGGGAAGACCCTCAGCCTATGCAGGAAACTCCAGACTTTTTTTTGTTGTTTTTTATTTATTTTTGGCGGCGTTGGGTCTTCGTTGCTGCACGCGGGCTTTCTCTAGTTGCAGCGAGCGGGAGCTACTCTTCGTTGCGGTGCTGGGGCTTCTCCTTTTGGTGGCTTCTCTTGTGGCGGAGCACAGGCTCTAGGCGCGTGGGCTTCGGTAGTTGTGGTGCTCGGGCTCAGTAGTTGTGGCTCGCGGGCTCTAGAGCGTAGGCTCAGTAGTTGTGGCGCACGGGCTTAGTTGCTCTGCGGCATGTGGGATCTTCCCAGACCAGGGATTAAACCTGTGTCCCCTGCATTGGCAGGCGGATTCTTAACCACTGTGCCACCAGGGGAGCCCCAGACATTTTGCCAAGGCATGCAAGGAGCCCAGGGGATGCAGGGCAGAGGCCTCAGAGGTGAGCAGGGGCTGAGCGGGCAGTACCTTGAAATGCAGGCCCAGGGACCAGACTCTGCCCTGAGGGCAGTGGGAAGCCACCACGTGGGGCATGCAGGGAGCGACTTGTAGATATCACCTTCATAAGGTCACTGGCCACAGCATGACATGGACAAGATTTGCAGAGCGGCAGCCTGGAGGCAGGGAGGCTGGTGAGGAGGCTGTTGAGGGTACCCGGGAGGGAGGTGATGGGGTCCAGCAGGAAATCATGGAGTGGGGAGGCTCGGTGGCAGACAAAGCAGCTGCTGTCCACTCGACGGACATCTGTGGACCCTCCTCTCCCTGTTCAGGGGGCAAAACTTCAGCAGAACGCGATTTACCAGGAGGCAGAGGATCCCTGATTTTATCCAGACATCCTCAACACTGCTTGATATGGTGGTTGATGTGTAAGCACTGAACAGGAACAGCATGATAAAATGACCAGCACCCAAGTGCCAGGAACTATGTTGGGGGGGTTATATATATATACATATATATATATATATATATATTTAACATCTTTATTGGAGTATAATTGCTTTACAATGGTGTGTTAGTTTCTGCTTTATAACAAAGTGAATCAGCTATACACATACATATGTTCCCATATCTCCTCCCTCTTACGTCCCCCCTTCCACCCTCCATATCCCACCCCTCTAGGTGTTCACAGAGCACCGAGCTGATCTCCCTGTGCTATGCGGCTGCTTCCCACTAGCTATCTGTTTTACGTTTGGTAGTGTATATATGTCCATGCCACTCTCTCGCTTCGTCCCAGCTTACCCTTCCCCCTCCCCCTGTCCTCAGGTCCATTCTCTACGTCTGCATCTTTATTCCTGTCCTGTGGGGGCATTATATATCGATATTTGTTCTCCTTTCTTCCAACCAACCCAGAAGGCAAAAATTCTTACCATCCCCATCTTAAGGGCGAGGAAGTTGAGTCTCAGAGAGGATCAGACAACCATAAGGATCCAGCCAAGATTTGTACCCGAAATTCTGACCTGGAAGTCCATGTTTTTCCCGCTCCTCCTTTGTTAATGTTTTCCTGAGCAGGGACTCAGGAAGAAAGTGTTGAATCTGATCAATGTCATCTTTCAGTAAGAATATTTCTTTGGCCTGAGTTTGACGTCAGTGATATGGAGCCCCCAAGATGCTGCCAGAAGTTCCTTGAGAACAGAAACCAGGAGCTCCTGGTGGACAGCGGCACTCAGTGCCTACAGGCAAATAGGCAGTGACTTTTGGTCAGACTCTCCTATCCTCTGTTGCCTAGGCGCGTGCAGGCAGTAGGTCGAGGTCAGTAAGTGAGGGTGTGAGAAGGTGGGACACGTTGATAGCTGGTGATACGCAGAGCCCCTCGCCTCCCACTGTCCCAGGTTCCTGACCTAAAAATGAGTAAGTCCAGCTGTCAGATTCCTTCAGAAGTCCCCTCCCTCCAGCCCGCCAGCCTCTGTAGGAGACACAAGCCCATCAAGTTTCCACTGATGGATCATGTACCCAGGTCATCCTTGGTGCCACGAGAACCCTGACTCTGCAGAGAACAGTGCAGGCCCCTTAGAGTTCACCCTCCCGGCGTCAAACTTCAGAGGGTTATGGAGCAGCAGGAAGGGCATGCAAGTTCACAAACGCTTCACTCTCCTCGGTTCCCCACTGGCCAGTTGACTCACAAAGGTCACCAGACAGAGCTGCCATGTTCTGCATTCTTTGCTGGTAGTCCCAAAGAGCAACGTTCTGCTCTCACCTGCTCACTGGAAGTACCTCTCCTACTCGGGTCAGCAAGTGGGACACTTATTACCACTACGGGCTTACCCCAGGCCGTACTGGTGGAGAAGCTACTCCGCCTGAGGAGCTGGGAGAATGCAGTGAGCAGGCAGGGAACTGCCCTCGTGAGCTCACATCTCAACCCCAAGGTCCCTCAAGTCACCCCTGGAGCCAACTCAGAGCGGAAAGACAGACCTGTTACCCTGGCTGCCCACAAAGGGGTCCCTGGTGGGGAGGAGAGCATAGGAGCTGATGGCCAGCCCTAGGAGAGGACCACCTAAGCACCCACTTCTAGCAGCCCTGCCCCTTCCGGCAGACGCCCACAGGTGGGTGTCCTCCTCGGACTGGTCTCCAGCAGCCTTTGCCCAGCTCCCTCCTTGCCCCCGCCCCCAGCTATGAAAGGGTGCACGAACCCAACACACTGTACCCTGCAAGAGGGCAGGGTCCATTCCAGCTCCGCGCATCACTGTGTCCGGTGGCGTGCTGGTGAAATGTTTAACCATCGGCTTGCGGGGGGCGGGGAAGCCCTGATTTATAGCATTTGACAATTCCCCAGTTGGAAATATTCCCACCATGGCTGTTTTCAGGTTATCAACATGCATCACTGAACGTGAAGTTGGGAAGAGACGCACCCCATTGTAGAGTGTTTCTACCCTACAGACAGAACATTCCAGGGGGCAGCAAACAGTGGCTGAGGGGCCAGACTCAGCTCATGGCTTACAAAGGCTAAAATATTTACTACCTGGCCCTTTTACAGAAGAAGTTTGGCGACCCCTGAAAGAGACATAAATAACCTACAGAATGGAGATACAAAATGTAGTATAATATGTAGTCAAATAATTAGAAAGTGGTGAGTTTTATTACCTTTTTAAGAATATGATTTATTTAATCGTAACTGTATATTAATTCAATCTTGTTTAATGGCTGTTTGACAACCAGCTTGCAAAATTCATGAAAAATTAACAATCAGCTCTCATGAGCCAGTATAGGTCAGCTTGAGCAGGTCCCTGCCTGTTCTGGCCCAGAGAAGATGCACTATGGTTATCTGTTGAATGGTTGGAAATCAAACTGCAACACCAACGTTCTAACCACTAGGCCACCTTGCCCTGCTTCCTTCCTTCCTTCTTTCATTCAGTTCCATTAAACATGTGTCTGTTAGCACCTACTGAGTGCCAAGGACTTTGTTGGGGACTACAGATCCAGCTCACACAAGATGCTGCCCGCATGGGCTCATAGTCGAGCGAGAGGAATCAGACACCCCTCCTCCCCCAATCATCCCCCCTCAAAAAAAAAGTATGTGAGGAAGAAAACAAACTCCTTGCCCTTTCCTTTACCAGCTGTGTGTATCTTTGGTTGATTTACTATAAAATGGAACTGCAACGGTACCTTTTTCCAGAGTCATAGGAATTAAGTGAGATAATCAATGTTGAGCTCACAGCCTGGCAATGGGCTAGCGCTTAGAATAAGCGTTGGCTATTTTGTGTTGCCACTGTCATTTTAGAACCCATGTTTCCACGGCCCTGATCGCAGGTGCTCCTCTAGATCACGTCTCCAAACGTTTCCCATCTGCCCAACAACTGGGATACAGATACCCAGTACAGCACCTTTGCAGGGTTTTCAACTTTGGCGCCATTAACATTTACGGCTGTATCATTCTTGGCGGTAGACAGCTGTCCTGACGACTTCAGGGTGTTTAGCAGAATCCTTGGCCTTAACCCACAGATGCCAGGAGCAGCCACAATTTGTGACAACCAAAATGTCCCCAGACGTTACCCCATGTCACCTGGGAGGCAAAATCAGCTCCGATTGAGAACCCCTGGTTTAAAGGAAGACATTTTTCCCACCCTGTCAGCCGGTACAGGCTGCTCCCCAGCCATGCTGTGGTTCCCAGTCTGGGGGAGATTATATTGTCCACGTTCATGCAACGGCACGTCCTTCCTCAGATGCCACTTCCCAGGGGCCGGAGGAAACTCGCAGCCAGCTTTATCAGACTGTCAAGGAACACGAGGACCCACAGGATGAATAAGGTGCAACCTGTTTTGAGTCGTGTTTTTGGAGCCCTTTAATGGCATGAAGCCATGCCTGTAATCATATGCCAAGCACCAAAAGCAGACGACAGAATCGTTTGTTCTTAATTTCATAGCTGCTCGTGGCACTGTTGCTTTTGGGGAACGCTCTGGAAGCTCCACCTGAAAACTGTCTCAAAATTACATCATCCAGGAGAGCATTCCCGAACCTCATTTTTTTTTTTTTTTTTTTTGCGGTACGCGGGCCTCTCACTGTTGCGGCCTCTCCCGTTGCGGAGCACAGGCTCCGGACGCGCAGGCTCAGCGGCCATGGCTCACGGGCCCAGCCGCTCCGCGGCGTGTGGGATCCTCCTGGACCGGGGCACGAACCCGTGTCCCCTGCAACGGCAGGCGGACTCTCAACCACTGCGCCACCAGGGAAGCCCCCGAACCTCATTTTTAATAGGCATGAGACACCAGCATAACGGAACACACACTCTGTACCGATGGCATTTAATGTACTGATTGAATAATAAAATGTGCTTATTCTCCTGGTATAGGGAGAGGAGTCATGTTTTCATCCTGAAGTTGGGGAACATCCCCCTTCTGCTTCTGAGCTGATGTGAAGTCAGCCCATTTTCTAGGCTCACGGGTGGGGAAGAAGGGAGGAGCGGGTGGGAGCACGATTGCTACTTCACAGCCTCTGATACTGGGTGGCTGAGTGATGACTGTGCCACCCTGCCCACTTCTCTGGTTTGGGGGATTTGGGGGTGCAAAGGTGGGCATCAAAGGAACATGGAGTACCACCCGCTCTGCCTTTCTTTCTCACTCTCCCCAAATAATTAAATCTGAGGTTAATTTTTTTTTAAAGTATCACAGAGGATTGAACATTT